CTCCGTTCGCCATGCGGAAGCTACCTGAGAAATATTAAGTGCGCATGCTCATCAGTTAAACTCGTGGTGAAGAAAGCATGGCGGCTGAAGGCGATCGAAGGAAAAAAGCTCTTCTGTTCTATTATCTTTGAAAACAGAGACGAAAAAGGAATAATTTGGCCCGTAGAGCAGCAATGAATCGACTATCTACGGAGATAATATCACCAGAGATATTCACGGAAATATTAATTTTCGGAGCCGAGATTTAATTACTGTACCCCGCAGGGACGACGTGTGGGGAGGCGTGTGAGAGGCGGAGAGACTATTAAAAGATTAGGCGGTTTTTCTTTCATGTACGTCCGCCATTTTTAGGTCACCGGCTTTGTAAAGCCTGGCTTAATTCGTTGAGAATGCGCTCATAGAGCTGTACAGTTACTTTGGTGATATATGAGAAAAAGAGCTTATGAATTTGTATAATAATACACAGCTTCATCCATGTGATAATTTGTTCAAAAGTAAACCCCATGTCATGGCCATACTACCTGACCTACTACATATGATTTGATAATCTTACCTTTACATAACTCCTCATAACATACTTGCCGTATAAAACCATCACAGACACTGTTATCTTGTCAGCACCTTTGAACAAGAAGACCAGACAAAAATTTTCTACATGTTTAGAGGTAAGTCTTTCCTAAATTTTGTCTTCACTCACCACTTAGCGGCAACTGTTATCTAGAATGAATTATAGGTGAACACAATTGGGTTTTGACCCACCTTTACTGGTTCTGTAATGAGCTAGTGTTGTGGGTTTTTTTTATAACGCTATGTCCTTCGAGTACTGTTGTCATAGAAGGTAAAGTACAAAGTGCCCATTAATGATGCCAGTTACGTATTAATCTAAAATACTATAGTTATCTGTTGTTTGCTGTTCCTTGCGATAACAATATGTAACATGTATGAGTATTGCTTATGGTATGCCTTTCGTAATGCCGACTGTCCTAGCATACACATAGACCCCATTCCCATAGATTTTAGATCAATCTATCCCTGTGGAGAGTCTCACTAGATTACTGTCAGCTTAGCCGGCTTAAGCGTCTGTCCCGCCTACTAAAAGCTGTAAGGGGGTAATTAACTATGGTGCATGCTTGGCTGACTGCAATTTAGCGTGAACCCCCAGGGAGTTAGGGCAATCTAAATCTAAATCTCTGGATCGATCTAAATCTCTGGGAATGCACCCATAGATGCACATGCATGCACAAGCGTATTGCATCTTTAGAACATAATTGAGAGATTTCCTGGCAGATCAGTCCATAACTTCATCAACCTAGGCTTAGATCTCTCTTCACTCCCATATATAAACTACATATGACATTTACGTTTGATGACTTCACAACATTAGGTTTTTAACAGACAGGTGTAACATACAGCGTGGAATGCACCACTACATTTAGAGTGCAATTGGCATTTTGTGAGCTCTACTGGAGAAAATGTGAGGTTGTAGATGGGAAAGCTGAGCCTAATGAAATTGATGGCTGGAGTAAATTTGATTGTTCCTCTGCATTTGTGGTCTATTGGATCAGATTTATAATGCTTGATGAAGATTGATCCTTTCTGAGATGCACATAGGGAGGCACTGTTAAGAATGATGTGTTGCTTTGTTTTTGTATAGCATTTTGTTTTGACTATGAACTGATCTTTCTCCTTAAACTTAATATCTGATCAAAAAGAGAAAAAACACCCATTTCCCCCATTTCTATATGTATTGATATAAATTGGTTTTGAAAGAAGTGTCAAAAATCTGTGGAGGAGGGATGTTAACGAGAGGTACATTATTGTAGTATAGACTTATTTGGTTGTTAAGCTATTTTAGTTTAGAAACATGACCTGTGTGTGACTGCCAAAACAAGTTCAAAGTGATTGTTAATTAAAATCAAGGAATCACTGTATATTATACACAATGGTAGAATATTTGTCAAGCAATTACTAGTAGGTACAGACTCAGCGTTAACCTCAGCAATCAGTTACAGGCAACTTTTGTAAAAGGATAATAAATCCATGTTTTCTGAAGGTCTGCATTATGTATCCTGAGTTTCAAAGATTACTGGACTAGCAATGCTGATAATAGAAGTGAGTTTTTACATGAAGTCATAGCTGAAACTAAGGATACAATCAGAACAGCTGACTAACAGATCCACAGACCAAATATGGCCGACCCCGTTGAATGCTTGGAGCATAATCCCCACAGGGAATCTGTTCAGTGTCTAATCGAGAATTAAGCGGCTAGCTTTTAAATGGGTCATCATACTTGATTGGTTAGTTCCCTGTTCTGAATACGCTCTGAGGGTGATGCTAATGATACTTTTGGGGGGGGGGGTGGGGGGGGGGAGTAGGAATCCAGTGGCTGGTGAGTGTGAGCAGGCCTTGGTACTGAGTCAGCAAGGATGAAGGAGCCTATTCACAACCAGTTGACCCATGGTTTAACTAGGCCACGGATCAAATATGGCTGACCAGCTTGAAAGCTTGTTGCGAAATCCCCTAATAGACAGTGAATGAATTCCCGTGGGGATTTTGCTTGCAAGCATTCATGTGGGTTGGCCATATTTGATCCGCAGACCTAGTCGACTGGTTGTGAATACCCTCAAAACAGACTAAAGTTTTCAGTCTCAAAGTTACAGTTAAAACCAATTTCTGATCTTAATCCTTAAAATTAGCAAAACTGGCTGGGGTGACATCATTTGGAGAATAAATGAAACAGCCCCAGTGCATTACACTTGGAGTATCCCAGTTTATCAGCCCAGTGAAAGTTGTCTACATATTCCATTAGAGAACCTTGGCTGCTTTATGAATTCATTGTTTTAATTTTAAGAAAATAACTTCAGTCTAGGTTCACAAAGACTTATTGATACCTCTGCGTCGCATTTAATAACCCATTATTCATAATAATGTGTGGAAGAAGACTCTATCTGAGACTGCATATATTGAGTTTTTTTGGTTGCCATGGTGATATAATATTACTCATTTATTTGCTCTGATGAAGGATGCCATGAATGATATAACACCCTTTTGTTTCTCTGTGTTCAAAACAAAAAACTGGAGATAATTTTGTTAATTTGACACAGATGATCAGTTCTCCTGCTGTGACCAGACTTGCTTATCGACTTTTTTCTCTCTCATTCACGGCTTGCATGCTGTTACAGTAATGACTCAGGAGTTGAGCAAAATTAATAGATTGTTTTGCCCAAAACACAAAAACAAAACATAAAAAGAAGATGCTTATTGAACAAATTTCTGAGAAGCAGCAAGCATTTATGTCAGAATGAAGGTTGTTGTAAGTAACTGAAAATACTAGTATGTAGTTTTCACAAAAAATGTGATGTTGAATTAACTGAGGTGTACAAAAGAGAGAATAATTACCGTAGGTTATGCTGTAATGTAGAAGCTCAGCTGGTTGCAGTGATGGACAATATCGTTGTACTAGCATATTAACATCAGTTTTTAAGGTTGGCTGATATAACAATATTTGCATCTTGATCTCCTCTTACACACAGGTAGCCTACTGGTTATGTTGTTGAAGAAAGTTAGGATTTTCTTTTCAAATTTTTCTAACTTTTTCTTAAAGGTATACTATAGTATGCATTTGAAACTGCCATATTTTTCTAGACCTACAAATCATGCAAAGCTATTTATCTTTTCCAGTTCAGACCTGGAAAAAGATAAAAACCCTCAAATATAAGTAGTTGATGTCAATATTTCCTTCTGAAATGTATGTGATGATATGATGAAGGCGATCGAAACAACTGGACAGATGTTTTTAAACTAAATGGTAAGTGGAGGATGGTTTTAGCAGTGATTTATGAGTAGGAAAAAATTGCCACATTATCAAGAAAAATTCAATGTAGCACGAAAGTCCCCAGATAGAATACATTTCAGTATTCTGGACCAAGTGCTCCAAGCAGCTTGGGCAACAAACACTCAACTTGTGTGTATTTTGTGTATAGTACATAATGATTCAAAATTGGTCTTTCAAGAGATGAGTAAACAATGAAAGGATAGAATATGTCTCAAGTACAAAATACCTGAGTGTGTGGTATTTTTAAACAGCAATTCATCAAGAAGACCAACAAACTTGAGTCTGAAGAGCCCGTCATCATTAGGAAAGTGAACTTTCTAAATGTGGGAGAACAACATTACCATTACAAGGATTCTTGTATATGTATGGCTCACCGAGCCTGAAATACACCTACGCAGGCACACACATACTTGCACTCTGTGGAGATGACCTTTAAATGAAATTTCAGTGCAACACCTGGCACATAAGTTTAGTGCTAAGAGCCAGAGCCATGGGCTGGGGTAGACTTCTTTCACTTTGCCTAAAAGCCCTAAGCCATATTTTATGGCTGGTTTTGCATGAGTTAAAGACCAAAATGTGGTTTCAACTTTAAGACCCAAAATTAAGGTTACTTTGACCCTGTAATAGTCTGGCGAACGGCTAAGTGATATAATTTGGTTGTTGTATGAAAAAATGTTTTACAGGTAAGATCAAATCAAAGATAAAAAATTTCAGTCCTTGGTTTGAAATTTTGTCTCTTTTTTTTTCTTTTGAAATCATTCAGTAGTTGCCTCTTGTAGTAGGCAACTGTTCATCACTGCCATAACTTGATTATTTTAGTGTTCAGATAGCTGTCCCTTGATGTACTGTTTTTTTTTCTTTTTAACTATGAGCACAGGGCTTGACATGTAATGAA